TTAAGATCATCAAGTCCAACCATAACATACAGCGATGGAGTGAAAATCCTAGGAGGTTTGCCGCAATTTTTAGGATTCTGTCCCTGACCATTGTACTCTGAATCTGCTGGATAGACGCACCAGGGTCAGGCGGGGAGGAGCCTTCCTGGTGGAGCAGTTTTGGGAATCCCACTGGTTGGCTCTCTGTGGATACCTTTGAAAGCCTGGCCTTGAGGCACCGGCTTTTTCCAGCGACTTAAAGTGTCTCGGCGTGAGGCTGCTCCCCGCTGCTCCACACCAGCTGCTGCTCTCCGCAGCTGCTCAGGAAGATGAAATGAGACCCCATTTTTAGAGGTCATGAAAAAGAGCACAGATATTTTTCTGCGCAGGAAGCTGCCTTGCTGTAGAAATGCTGAACTTACAGTGATGGGCAAGCACGGAAGCCGTCATGCCAGCAAATCCCCAGCACGGCAGTGCTTGGGTTTCGGCGGCACTGGAGGCACAGCGGCCCTCTGCCTGGTGGGGGGGAGTGCCTGGTGGGGCCGGTACCCCGCAGCCAGGAGCCACCCCACACAGAGGGGACAACACCAGCAGCACAGCCAGTTTGTCCATACTGCTGGCATTGACAAAATTGATTTTTGTGGTTTGAGAGCAGTAGGACAGATTTCATCTCTGGTGGGTCTCCTGACACTTTGATACATGGCAGTGCTATCCCTGAATGGAGCTAAATACTCCAGGGCTACTTTCTGACTGGGTGAAGGGATGTATAAAATGAGAACGTATGAGAGAGTATTAACAGAAAGGCACACTTTGATTTACTGATACTGGCTCCCAGCTTTCTTGGTGGATTGATATGCTGTCTGTTGGATCTGGAACAACTTTTTCACTCCTGTACACAAAATGAAGGGGCTCCCATGGACTCTTAAAAGTGACTCTTACAAGTTAGCGTCTCACCACAGACACTCTGAGTCCCATTTAAGCTGGAAGTTATATTCAAACCACGTTTGCTGTGTTCTTGAAGCAGCTGCAGATGGATCCCACTCAGCATCCTTTTTTCTTTCCCAAAGGGCAGCTTTAGAAAAGGTTCGATGGAGGGAGGGGTTGTGTGTTGTCCTGGGGTTAGTTGGCCTCTCCTACACACAGAGCATGGGTGGTGGTTTTGGGGATTTCAGTTGCTCATACTGAAATGCCGTAAAGGGATCCAGCTTCTTTTGTTTTTAAGGCAGCGCTGAGTCACCTGTCCTCAAAAAACACAGGTTGGACATGCTGAAGTAACTCCTGGAAAAGGAGATAGTTTTAAGATTTTTTCTCACTAGTGATGTATATGTTAAAGGTGTCAGTTGTGACAGTGGTGTCGATATAAGGTAGAATATTTACCCCAGCACATTGCAGTACAGAGTGTAAGAGAGATGCAGCAAAGCTGCTGACAGAGACTAAGAGAGAAGGGGTGGGAGAGGCACAGACTGGGATTAACCAGGGCGATAGGCTGTGCCTGCAGAGTCGGGTCGGGAGAGTTTTACCTACCACAACTTAACAGTTGCTTTTGGAGGCCACTGGTTGGTGCGCTGGACTGGGAAGGGGCAGCTGGAGGACGTTTAAGCATCTGTAGTTGGCTGAACGCAATAGAGCAACACCCAGAAGTGATGCTGATGGCAGAGTTCGTGTAGTAGCTCAGGGAATAAGCTGTTGGCATCAGGATCATCCTGTTGGTGACTGAATGGTGGGAGGGTAGTCATAGAGCTTTAATGGCATTGTTTCAGCCTTGGCTGGTTTGTGGTGCTTGAGAAAACCGTAGTGTTGATGTATTCTTGATCCCGAAAGCTTTAGAAACTGAAAATTGTGAGGGACTGCCTAGGACCTAACACATGCTGCGTGGTCAGGGCTGGCATTGCCTATGCTCTTAGAGGTATTGCTGGCTCTGTTCTGTGCCCAGAGCAGGAGGTGCAAATCTGATGGTTATCATACATGAAAGCTGCTGGTTGGTTGCCTTAATGTACTGGCGTGCTTGAAAGCTCCATGTTTGTAACTCTTTTCTGTTTAATTGTCTGTTTCAGACAAGTAGCGGCATTTTAAAGAAATGTGCTGGGATGGAGTAGGAGAACAGGAGGGTTAGCGTCCGGCTTGCTTTCAAAATGACACAGTTTGCATCTATGAAACGGTTTTGGTTTATGCTGCCTTTGCTCACAAATGGATTCAGTCTTTTCCCCAAAGCAGACGGTGTGAAGGCAGTTGAGGGCATGAGAGGGAAAAAAACTGAAGCGGGAGAGGAGATTGGGAAGAAAACAGCCCCTTCTGGAATTAAACATGAAATGAATAGGGCAGGGCTGGGTGAGAAGAGGGCAGGGGGAGGGTGACACTTGGCTTCTGAAGTTGAGTTTACAGCACACTTAAGCACCCAACAGTAACAATGAGAATGCCATCCAATAACGCTATTAAATACACAAGAACTGAAAACACGGAAATTACCCAGCTGTAAGAGGCTCATGATGAAGCCACTGTCTGGAATAATTAGCCCTCCCACCTGGTTAGACACACGGTCATTGTCTTCCCTGCCCTCTCCATCCCCTTCACTCCAAATAAAATTGCTCCCCATGCCCACTTCTGTTGGGGTCCGTATCTCCTAGCCTGGGGGAGCTTGAGCCTGTCTTTATTCCGTGCCTGCTTGCCGTGGCCCTGATATACCCCAGAAGAGCTGGAGTGCTACTCCAGTTGTAATTGACAGGATCAAAGCCGCCTGGGGTGCATTAGCACTGCTGCTGGAGGATAGGCAGCGGGTAGAAAATAAACAGTTCCGGAAGCTCTGGGGACATTTAGCTGTGTTGCAGGCAGTGGGAAAGATTTTGCTGTTGTAAGCTGTGCACTCAGGCTAGGGTGGGGGCACTTTCCTTTTCCAAGTGATGCTTTAGCTGCAGACACACACAGCAAATGCATTTGTAAAGGCTTTTGTCTGTTTGTCTCTTGGAATTGTTTTGATGCTAACACACGACTGTTTTACAAGTACGGCAAACCTAATCCGTTAATAGGTTTATATAGAAGAGTTGTCAGAACGTATCTATAATGAACTGCAGGCCAGGGGAGGATGAGTCCAACAGCTGATTTGCAACAAAAATCTTAAAGCGTCTTCTCCTTGACATTCCTGTTACTGAGGTCAGGCTGTAATTTATCTGAAGATGGTGACAACTGAGCAATATCACAGTGGTAACATGCGGGAGATTGAGACCTCTGAATGTCTGGGCTGATTTCTGCTTGCACTGTCTCTGTCTGGCTGATGAAGATTTGCTGTTCACTCTACCTATGATCTCTGTGTCCTCCATTAAAAAAAAAAAAAAAAGAAAAAAATCAAGTGGTGAGAAGTTCTCTCCATTCTTTTATGCTAACTATAAAGAAATAAACAGGTTTGGGAGTTAGCAAAACAGCCCTACTGACTTCACATCAGTGAAGGACCAGGCAGAGAGGGTACCAGGGGAAGCTCAGGGGAACGTCCCACCACTGCAGTGCTCCTCCTGCCCTCCGGACAAATCCTCGTGCTCTGTCATGTCAGCCAGGGTTGCTCCTGCCCATGAGGATGCTTGTTCTGGGTGCGTGGGGAGGGAAGCCAAGCCGCCATGAACATATCCCACAAGAAAACAGATCTTGAAGCGGTGTGCTACCTTCCTCCAAGCAGTGCATTTTTTCCCCTTTCTGTGTTGCCTCTTTGTAAAAGTAGAAGGCAATACACCAGCGTCAGGTAAATATAAATTAATCTGTGTAAAGTTCAGTTCAGGCTTTTTGATAGAAGCGTACTAAGTGTTTTACCTGTAAGAGCTGAGCCTGTGATTGATGTGTACCAATGTACAAAGGGAGAGTTTGTGTAGGCCTAGACAAACACTTGTTTTATATCAGAGCGTTCTGCAGGGAGGCTTGTTGGTTGCCACAAAAGAACTATTTTTAAAGAACAGATGCTGCAACAGTGTGCAGTTAACCCTTCCTACCATCAGCTGCAACTGTGTGTCCTTGGAGAACATACGATCATTGGAACAGAGATTATTTTCTCTGCATCTGCATAGATACAGGAAAATTGTCAGCTATGAAAGCCTTTGGATACACAGCATCAGATCCGCATTTAGGATTTGTGTCTGCAAGTACCCCAGAAAGCAACTACTCATCGCTGTAAAACTAACCTTCACACCATGTCTAGATCATTTTGTACACCTCTCCACCCCAGCCTTTTCTTCTCTTTCTCCCTTTCTAAGGATCTCTGGCCCTGCAGTTCTGCTTTTCTAATTGGAATCCTCTCATTAAACTTGCCAGGTCATTGTTTAAGTTTCCCCCATAGATCAGATCTTGCTACATTTAATTTTACTTACAATCTAATTTCTTATACCTCCTGTGTGGTGAGCACAGCGGCATAGAAACCAGCAGTAGTCACAACCCTGCAGGAGTTCAGTTTTTCTTCTTGCCTTCCCTCCTTCTGTTCCCTATAACATGCACGTTATGTACAAGAAACAAAAGTCAGAGGTCAGGTTTAGATGGGATGTACATATATACGTTTTCCCTTGTGTTTCATATTATTCAACTGAAGCTGGCCTCTCCTGCAGAACTTAACACAGGAGAGAAATTAGTTAGTCAGCAAAAAATCTTGTTGTCATACACGTGTGTCATCAGACACTTCTGCACACTTGCTTCCTCAGTATGTTAATCCTTTAGGCTCTGCAGTCTGAATGTTTGTTGATGAAACATTAGATCAGTATACTCCCGATGTGCAGCCAGGCAGATATTTAGAAGGCAGTCCTGCCTCCTTTCCTCCCTTTTTAGGAAAGAAGTGTTCTTTCCCACTGTGGCGGTGTTTGACATTAACAGCTATAAATCAGTTTGAAGGTAAAACCACATCTCTCACCGATTAGAGGAAAACAGTTAATGGGACATGCAGTAGCTGTGGCAGAAATTCAGATTCAAGATGAGAAACTAAGCACTGCAAAGCTAAGTCTTCACCAGAAGCAAGGATCAGTGGGAAATTGTCACTTGTGTCTCTTGTTCTGCAGGTTGTAAAGCCCTGGAGGCATTGCTGAAAGTATTAGTGGGCCTTCAGGATGAGCTGCTTTATCAATACCCAGGCACGAGGCACCTGGTAGATGGAAAGCAATCAAAAACTGAGAGGTTAGTACAAAATAAGACAAGACCTTTCTGAATCCTTTGGTCTCTGACTCTCCAACAAACAGGGCAATGCTCAGCCTTCCTGACCATACTCCCTCTCTGCTGTTCTCTCAGTTGTTGCTGGATCTGGGTGACAGACATTCTGGACAAATGACCATTTGAATTCCTTTTGCCAGTGTGAGAAGTCTGTTTTGTAATCTTTCTGATAATGGAGGAGAGGCTAAACCATGGGTCTTTGGCCATAAATATCACCATGGTGTGGAAAAAGCATAGGTGGTTGTCGAGGGGCCATTGAGAATTCAGGCATATTGCCTTAGAGAGGTATAGGGTGTTTAGTCTGTGTATTTTTGTTCTAGTGATGATGAAATCCCTAGCAGTAGCGATGAAGAGCAAGTGGATAAGGCTGAGGAGAAGAGGAGGAGCCTCCCCAAACGAAAGCTAAAGCTGGAGGACTACCCCGAATTCATAGCCAAGCGGTATGCTGACTTCAGGACGTATCGGAACAACATCTTGCAGAAGTGGCATGAAAAGACAAAGCTGGCATCTGGCAAAATGGGAAAGGCAAGTCTTCATTTATGTGCGCTGACATGCTTATTGCTTAGCAGGCATTTGTGGAACAAGTTGATTTAGAAGTTTCATATCATGGCTGTTGCAAGTTAAGCTGAGAGTTACAGCGGTAAGAATTAAATACACAGGTACACATTTTTCCCCAACCTTAAATGAGTTTGGAAAGAAGCTCAGCCCTCAAATTTCAAAGGCATAAGCTGCTCTCTTTTGTTTTGAGCAGATGGGCAGGAAAAATTCTTTCAGGGGCAAATGGTTTCCCAAGTTTTGGGAGAAACTCTTGGATAGTATTGGTGTTCTCTCAACTAGACGTCTCATCATAGCGAGTCTCCAGCAGCAAGAAAGCTCCATGAAAATGCCACTATTGCTGATCAACAAGCTGTTAGTGTTTTATAACAGAACTAGGGGCTTCTGTGGCTCTCCTCCTCCATGAAGTGTACACTTTAATACAATGGGTAATCATTTCACCCAAAGACCCAGGGTCTCCTAACATCTGTGAGTTAGTATTAATCATTGAGAAGTTCATCTGAACCAGAACAGCAAAGGCATTTTATTAAGCCAGGCGTCAGGTTGCCTCAGGTTGGGAAGGGAGAGGGAGGGAGAAACAAATAAAAAATCCTAGGCAGAAATCCCTGCAACGAGACCCAAACCCCCTCCTCTTGGAATGCTGTCTGCTTATCCACTGACATGGAAAGATAGAGGAACATTGCTGCCTTGAGGAAAAGCTTTCTGCATTATCTGACACTAGTTAATGTTGTTGCAGGGTTTCGGTGCCTTTGAGCGTTCAATCTTGACTCAGATTGATCATATTATGATGGACAAAGAGAGATTACTACGGCGGACACAGACCAAGCGATCAGTGTATACAGTGCTGGGAAAGCAGGAACAGGAATCTCATCCGGTCCCTGAATCTTTGCCTGAAAATTCGGTAAGGGTATTTTGTTTATATAACTCATCCTGTAGCAGCAGTGAAACTCTCTGCAAAACAATTAGCTTGAGCCTTTAGCAGGTAATATTCTTGTTTGTGAGAGATTTATGAAGGAGATATCTGAGTGTTGATTCCTGCAATGTAATGGCTAAGAAAAAGATGTAGACATTTCCATTCTGGTTTTATGGTGTTTGCATTATCTCCTGTGCCAGTTCCTGACAGGGGAAAACAAGGTTTGGTTTGTGATTGTAGGAACTGCTGCTCACTAAATCTGCTTTTTGAGGTGGCGGCTACAAAACTTTGGTTTTACTCTGGAGTTTAGAATCTTTAACCAGAAAGTCACTTCTAAAATCATACTGCATATAACCTACAGAATATGTTAGTAGTAAGTCTGTTATTAATTTAGTATTTAAGAATGAATAAATACTCAATTCGGAGAGATCATGTAGAATTACTGCACTTGCAAGATATATTTTTGCCATTACATTAAAAATATCTGTAGTATTTTGCCAGAAAGACTTTGCGCAGTCCTATTTATTTCCCAGTAAAGGTATCATAAATCTATGTTGGCATTGGCAGCATTTCTGCCTTGCCTTTAAATGTATTCCTAGTCCTTAAAAGCTTGTTATGTTGGGAGCTTTTCTCCATTCCTTCATATCTTCCAAGTACATTTCCAAGCCGCTGCACGTGATGTCATCAGAGTTAGGGACAGAAATACGCACACATGAGCTTTCAGTATTTCCTCTGTGCTTCTAGGAAGTCCTCCCTCAGTCGGATTCCAACAGGCACCTGAAGGACATAGATGAGGAGATATTTGATGATGATGACTTTTATCACCAGGTAGGTGATGGTAAATCTGTGTTGGAATTACGGCTCCAGTTGTTTTTTAATATTTACCTAGCTAACATGGTTGGTTCTGTGCTCTAAATTTCTCTTACCAGTGAAACTCAGTTACCTGTTTTAACATCCAAAATCTCTGTAGATGCCTCAGAGGACTTTGCTTTCAACTTTCAACATAGGGCTATGAGCTTAAACTTGTATCGTGGATGTAAACTTCCTGCCGTCACTGGCATTGCTGTACTGGAGTGAGGGCTGGAGGATAAGGGCTGTCCCTGTTCTCACTGGTGAACATTGCTACACAGGAGAAAAATCACTGGATTTTCTAAAGGTGACTGTTCTCTGTGGGTAGAGTTCCATTTGGAAAAACAATTCTAGTACATCCTCAAAGCACCTAGGTTACTCTCATCTCAACCTAAATCATCTATCTCATCTACCTACTGAATGAAAAAGCTGCAGGGCTTCTCTAGGACTTTGCTTGGAGCTGTGCCAGCTTGGATTTAGGCCAGTTATTCTTTTTATTTGCAAAATTCTTAGAAACAAGGAATCTGCACCCAGTGCATGGAGACTGCAGCTTAGGGAAGCCTTGTGTTTGTAATTCATTTAATAAATGACAGCACCAGCTTTATGAAATATTGAAATTGCCATATATTGAGGAACATGATTCACTGTAAGTCCTTCCTCAATGCACAAAAAACTAGTTTTGCTCTGATGATCCACAGAGAGCTTTAACTTCAGGGCTAAACAAATATCATTATATCATTAGAAAGGCAGAAATTTCTGATCTGAATAGTTATTAGAGTGGCTAGTAAAGTGTTAGGGTAGTGGAAGATTGCTGTTGCCATGTGACTGTGCTCTGATAACTGATTTAACCAGAAGCATTTGAATACTTCCAAAATTTGGGGTTTCATGTACAGAGCCAGGACTAAAGGTGATTAAACAGATGTGCTAAATTAGTAATTCTTATCTGTGTTTTACGGATAGGAAATACAGAGAACTTTAATGCTGCCTTTTTTTTTTCCCTCCAAGAAGATTTTCAACACACTTCCAACTCTACTGCTGTAGATGTCCAAGAAAATTTTTGCAGCAGACCTTACCTAGTGCAGAATTAGGACAATTTGAATGTTTGTGAGGAACCTACTCAAGGCAGCCTGCCTCAGAGCTGGGATTGTATTCCAAGCTAGCTCCTCTCCAGGCTGTGTATTCATTGTAAGAGCATCTCTGCTGGTATTGCTGTGGTTTGAGCAGCATCTCTTGGGCAGGTGAAGATGCCAGGCTCATCTGTGTAGGCTCTAAGATGGAGATGGGAGAGTGCCTGTCTTGTTGGCAGCTGTGGTTGAAGAGGCTAAACCTGTAAGGCAGTGAGATGATACTGAGGTGGAATTTGATGTCCAAGTGGACCAGAAGCCCACCTTTGGAGGCCAAGTGGACCCTTAGAACACAGAACGAATTAAGTTAGTATAATGAAATTGTGAAGAGGTCAAGGAGAAATAGCTGTGATTGACAGTCCACAGACCTGTGCAGAGAAAGTGCTTATTGGCCATGAAATGTTAAATTTTTAAAAGAAAAATAGCAATAGACGAATGGCCCATCTTTCCTTCTAATAACTTTAACTTCGATAAATCGTGATTTCAGAAATATGACTAGTCACAGCTTAGCTTTTCCCCTCACTGGTTAATTGGGGTGCTGGGGTTAATCTAAATTAAAACTTAAACTAATAGAGGTCATTGAGGGAAGAGAATCACCTGAGTAAAACAAATGGGTCTGCCAGGCACAACTGTATCTTGGCCATTTCCCAAGAGGGAAGTGGCAGCAAATTGGAGTTGTTTCAGCGTTCGGTAGAGGTGAAGGATGGGTGACACCAGTTTAATGTACGGCACCTCCGGAAACGTTCCAGATTGTATTCCTTGCTGTACCAACTGCTGCCTCCCACGCACAGTGAATAGGAGCAGGACCAGCCAACAACATCTGGCAGCACAGCAAGGAATGGGTGCAACTTTTGAAACCCCATAGACTCTAAATATGGTGCTTAGCTTGGTGGAGGCTTTAATCACTTACCACTCTTTGGCAGCGGGCTACGACAGCTTATCCTAGCCTCGTACATCACGCACAGACATCTGCTGAGCCGCGAGGCAGCTACACATTCATTTTCCTTTCTTGCTTGGTTTTTTTTTTTTATTTCCTCCCTCCTTCTCTCCCTCCCTCCCTTCCACCCTTCTCCTCTCCTCCCGTCCCCAATATGCTTCTTGGGAGAGATGATCTGTAAAGATTACTGCTTCATTGTGTGCAAGTAATTGCGGGGATGCCAGCCCCTTGCCAGACACCGCGCAGCACCTGTTCCGCTGACCTGGTTAATGTCTTCTGTTGAGTGGGATTTGGCAGAGATTGGAGCTGAAGCCAATTCAGTGATAAGGCTAAAGAAAATGGCTGTATGTTTTCTGTCACCTCCCAATTAAATTGGTTTCATAAAGTGCTTTCCTTTATTTGTCAGGGTGGTAAGCTGAAGCTGAACATTGCATTCAGAAAGGGTAGAGTGCATTACAATAGAGTGCTGACAATACAGTGAATGCGTTTTCTTTCAGATGGGTCATAACTGTGCAGCGCTTTTGTGTGCATGTGTGATTGCGTGTGTGGATGTACATATATAAATAAAATGTAGAAGGGGAACTGGTTCTTCAGGAGTAATCGGCAGCAACATCTCTGGTTGTTGGAGCTGAGGTTGCTCAGAAACTCTGACCTCTGTGCATAATACTTATTGCACAGTATATTTCAGTGGGTGCTTTTTTCTTTGTATTTAAATTTAGATCCAGACTTTTTTTAACATCACTTTCATTTTTCTAAATAACATTTTATAATGATTAATTTATTTTGATTACTGCTCATGATTTATTGAAGGTAAACATTCCGATAAGGAAGGACATTGGAAACCAACGTCCTGTATATTTCAGTGTGAAATTAAGCAAGTACAAATGAACGAGATCGGATGAGTGTGCACAAGCTAATGATAACAGAATAAGTAGCTATACTGTTTTGTTATAGATTATATACAAAACTCTTTAATGAATCTATTTTTCCTGTGGAAAACCAATTTTCTTGTCCAGGTCTTGGTATTCGATGGAATTCACCATGTGGGGCTGGTGGAATTTTACGACAATTCAGGATTTAACTCTGTTCTGTCTGTTCATCCCACTTTGTCTTTTCTCATATTCTTCACTTGTTTTATAAGCAGTTATAATATTTATTGTGGTGGCCCATGTTGAATGGTAATGTAAAACTGAGCTGAATAATGCAAATGAAATATTTTTATTTGGGTTGCACCGGGTGGGAATAGTTAAACTGTTTCAGAAGGGTCCTCATTACTGACAGCAGTGAGAGGCTAGACCCCATTTCCTTTTCTTTTAAACTCTCCTTCGTACATAGTTTTAAGTGAAGAAAAAGGCTTTTTATTTTTAGAAGTCATATTTACGTAGAATTCATTACAGCTGATATTGCAGCATTAAGACTTAAAATTCCAGCCCGCTACCAGAGAGCTGCTGGTCTGACATGCTACAGTGGAGATTTTATTATTAGGTTGAAATACTCCTCTAGTAAAGGAGAGAGTGGAAATTGGTTTATTTCCAACAGGAATTAGGTTAGTGTTCATATGCTAAGCGTTCCACTGGTAGCAGCTCTTCCCAGAACAAATGTTCATCATTGATGGCAGCAGGTATGCCTAAGGAGAATTAGGAATATACATAATCCCTTTTTTTCTCTGCTCTCCTGCTCCCTCCCCCCCTGATTTTGGTTATGTTATATATCGTTGCATTTTATAACAACCCACAATCATCGATCATGTCTGTGATCACCACAACTGCAGAAGCTGAGCAGAGCCAAAGTGGATGGGCAACATTCAGTGAACCGCCGAGGTGTTCACACAGAGATGGCAGCAGTTTGCCAGGCAGGACTGCCAGGGGGTTGGAGAGGACTGTCATCCCTCAGCTACTGCGCTGTGATGGAATGAACTGCCACTGCCTGGGATTTACTCCCAAGGTGAGCGAGCATGCTTGAATAGTGAGGAAGAGGTTTGCTCTCTTCCTTATCTATACCCTAATTGCTTAGGAAAGGAGTTGATCCTGTAGAAAATGGTGTTTAATTGTAGGACTTGCAACTTAATTTATTGTTTGTCCCTTGTGGAGTGGCACTGCATGTGCCTGCCCACTCTTGCACGCTCTACGTGACAGATGTGGTTTTTACAAGTGAGCAAGAGATCTCACTGACTTGCTTTGTCCTAGTTTAGTGTTCAAAATGTCTGCGTTAATCTGAGTGACTGCAAAATGAGCTTCCCAGTCTGAATCTCTTGTTAAGATACTTGGAGCTCAATTTGTTTCTCTTCTGGGTTGTACCTGTGTCTAAATCGCATTGTACATCTTTTTAGTAAACTTTATGGGGTAGGTTTCTCCTCGTGTCCCAAGCAAGAGTCGACCAAAAGCAGTTCCTGGGCACACGCTGTGGTTTGCTCTCTCCCAGGTATTTGATAATGCCATAAACAAGTAATTACTAATCCAGTGAACTATTAAAAGTCGATAATGGTGAAGAATAGAGAGAAGACTGGCTTTCTGACAAGCTGGTTTACCTTAATTAAACTGGTGAGTGATTAATATGGACAGCTGATCTTGTGGCTTTAATTAGATGCATTTAGAGTTTTGTGTGAATAAGAGATGTCTCGAACCATTCCACAGGTTAATGGCAATACGATACTCTTATCACAGGCATGTATCTTTCAAATGGCTGGGTAGATGGTTAATAACACGTTTTAAAGCTTGAGTTGAAACTTCTCTTAATGGGTTATTAGAAAATATGCCTATGTTTTACAAAACTGAATTTTAATAAAATGTTTTTTTAAAAAGAGACTGTCCAGTGATTTCACCTTGCAGTTTAGGTTTCTACATGATAAATAGATTGCAGAAAAAGAAATATTTAAAAAGTGTTTCAAGAGGATTTCAAGATAGTGTTTGAGCTGCAGT